TGTAATTGCAAAGTGCTATCTCTAGGCAGAACTAAATATGCAGCATACTTTTATGTTTGTTGGTTAGCTATATTTTTGTAAAAGTTTGATTGATTGTATGAAAAAAAAAAATAACATCAGTATTGCTGAAATGCAATGTTACAGTCTCCCATGACACAACAAAGTTGTGAAGACATATTCCAGTGAGGCACAGTGCTTTTCTGATGGGTTTGCTACAGTTTACTTAAAAATAGGAAACTCTTTTGTAGTTATTCAGTGTTAATTACCTTTTGTAATACAGCTTCATGAAATGCCAACGTGAACCTATTGGATTTAGGTGGAATTTCAAAACATAACCTGAAGCATGTGTTAGAAAACTAGCATGTGCTGTAATAAAACTTTTTTTTTTACTTGAAAGTTCCTTCTATACATCTGTGTTACAACTGATTGCCCAAAATGCTTCTACAGCATAACTCAGGAGCTACTGATTCGTACATTTAAATTTTTGAGATTTCATTTCATATGCCATTTGAATATTTATCGCAAAAGCCAAAGGCATTTTCAGTAATTCTGAGGACCACAACAAAAAAATGTTTTTTACTTTTTATTTTTGTCTTTTAACTTTTGAGCAACTGTATTTGTAAGTCAGTTTTTGACGATGACTTTCATTGTTGAGGAAATAGGAGGAACATAATGCCACAGGCACAGTGAAAAGCAGTACACACATCTGTCTGAATACTTGGTAAGTTATCCTGTAAGACATCTACAATAATTTCTTATGTATATAAGGTTTCTTAAAATAAATTGCTTGATGTGGAACATAAGTTGATTGTATGAGTAGAAGATTGTAAGAATATTGAAATCAATTATATAATTTTGTGCAAGTCAGACATTGTTATACTATTTCAGTGGCTGGGGAAACCAATTTAAAGTAATTCAGGTCTTAGTTCCTGAATTTTTTTCTTAGGAAATGGATCTTATGCATAAACCTCTAAAGTGTATTTATTCAATGAGGTTTTGAAAGATACAGATGCAAGAGATAGGTATCATAAAACATACTTCTGTAACAAGACAGGACAATAATAAGGAATTTTCTAATTTTTATGCTACTTGTACTCCTGTTAAAATTTCAAAACCTTAAAAATGATTGCGTATCTCTTCAATGTATCTGGTACTTACTTACTAAGGTTGGTGCAGCAAATGATGTCATTTCCAGAGTCACTTCTAGAACTGATAGGTGCTTCATGTATTCCAGTAAAAATGGAAATATTTTGGTGTTACTCATACTGTAACTAAAATATTTCCAAAACGCTTTGGTTTACACACTTTGTTGATGTCCCATAAACCCTAACTGTTGTTGTTGAAAGTTTCTTTAAAGTTGTGTTATTTGCATTCATGGTTACAGCTTGTTCTATGTGAACATTTATCTCCTGTGCTGTCAAACAGCATAGGAAAAAAGTTTACTCTGTTGCATGAAAATTACTCTATGAAATGGTTTTAATCTAAAAAGAAACCCTTAATTGTGTCTAAAATAAAAATTCCAAAATGGAATCTTGTACAGAACTATTGGGTTTTTTTCACTAAAGTTTGTTTGCTTACCAGCTTTCTGTTTACCCAAAATTACAGAACAAAAGCTTATAATTATTTTTATTTAAAGCAAAATGTAAGTTGAAATTCACCTAACACTTATCTAAGGATTTTAAAATAAAACTGAGAATGTGCTGGTTAAAGTGGTCCTTTTCTTTCTTTTTCATGTGCTAGTGGCAGAACACATGTGAGGGAAAACATCCTATAACATGGACTGTTTATGTTTTCTTGTTTGCTTCTGTTTTGGTTTTTTTTTTTCCTAAAAAAGGTTTTGAAAACTTCTGTACATTTCTATTCTTGCTGATATACTTCTGTTTCTAACAGCCTGAAAATAAAAAGTCCGTTTACATGTATTTTTACTTGAATTGAGTTATTTTATGGATTAATCCACATTCTGCCTCAGCTTTGCAGTTGTGAATTCTTCAGACATGTTGTGAGATTTTTATTTATAGTGCTTTTGTGAGGTTTAGCTCATCTGACCTTGTTTTCAGTGTGAAAGAAATATAAAATGTCCTCTTAAGATAACTTAGAGTGAATAAACATATTCAGTACTTGTGTGCTGCTTCTGTTGTATCACTTTTCAGTAGAGTGACATCATAATAATCTTTCAAACTCCCTGTGAAGAAAAATTTTCATCCTTGTAGAAGTTTATTTTTCCTGGGATTCTGCTTACTTCTTCCAAGTCTAATGAAGTAACAGATTAAAAGCTGAGGTAAGATACATCAAGATATGGGCTTTTTAATTTGCTTTCTTAATGTTAACTAATTGATTGCTTGGTCTCACACTACCATGGTAAGGCTGATGCCTTCCAAGTGACTCTTATGAAGGGACTGATTGATGATGCATTTCATGCAGTTGCATTCGGAATAGGTTTCATCTCTTATCTCCCATTTCCCAAAAAAATATCATTAATTGTCATAGGTGAGCAAGTGTGCTGAGTTCTGGTCCTAGATGATTTATATACACATATAATTGTTAATTTTAGTCTAGGACCTATGTAAAAGGCAGAACCATTCAGGAAAAAGGGTTTGGGTCCAGGAGCGCTCCCTCAAGGAACACTCAAGGTGTGTGTGCCCCTGGGCTAAGGTTAGGGAATTAGGAGACAGGTAAATTCCTCCAGACCGAGAAGGGCCTACAACTTGCAGTGAAGAGCCATTTTTCCATGGTTGGTTGTAGTCTTGTTTTCAGGTAATCCTGAGTTAGAGCTACACTTGAGTGCTTTTGTCATGTATTGGATATGCAACTTTGACTTGCCTCCATGATGTTAGATTGGGCCTTGGAAGTTTTGCTGCTGCTTTGCTGGATTGTGATGGAAGCATTAGCAGGAACTACCTTGCTTGGGGCAAATCAGGGAGTTTTCATACATATGTGGAAACCTAAGATCCACATACAGTGGATTTGCAAAGTAGCTGCATGGGTTGAGTTTAGACTTTTCAAGGACTCTGTGTCTGGTTTAAGTTCCTCAAACTGAAAACAACCTAATACATCAGCACCAGCAGCTTTCCCTTACACAGATTCCCACTTCTTTCCCAAGCCTTAGTTCCCCCATATGTGCATTGCACTTTCAAAACTCCCTTTGTCCAGGGGGGAAGTCCAGGGTTGTAAAACCAGGTTATTTCCTTCAGAAGATTGTGGATCCGAGGGACATCATCATGTGACTTTTGGTTTTGAAATTATTTTTACACATCCATTCTCATATAGACACAGAATATCAGCTGGTACATTTTTTAATGTACTGGATGCTGGAATTACGGTTTCATAACACCCATCAATTTTTGCATCTTTTCTCAACACTGAGCATTTTCATGGAAGGGAAAGTTCGTAGTAATTTTAAAATTATTTTTTCTTTCAAAAATTGGTGTAGCTTTATTAGGTCCTTACATTCAGGAGATTTGTTCAGAAAGGCTGAGAACATCCTTTCCATGTATTTTATGAAACACAACATGAAGAATTTGATTAATGAAAATGACTCCTTGAAATTATTTATTAGTAAAAATCCCAAATTAACCCTTCCCAAATTATTTCCTGTCCCTGTTAAGGAAAAAGAAACATGAAATTCTTTTGAGAACTCAACTTTTAAATCCTAGCAAACAAGGGTAAAGCATTTTAAAGTGTGAGCATTTTGTAATAAGGTATTTTTTCCTCAGTCAAATGGCTTGAAGAGTGGGTGTTGCACCTGCTCTTTTTCAGTGTTACATGATGTTTTTACTTCATCCTTTTTTTTGTCTCTTTTCTTGTTACTCTTGTTCATCAGAATAAAGTGTGTTTTCTAAAGGGCAAATAACTTCAGAGATGTGTGGTACAGAGCTGTATAAGCACTCCCTCCCCATCACCAAGGGTGTAGAAGCAGCTAAAGTGTAACTCCCGAACCAGCTGTGGCACTGCAGGACTAGAGATGGGGAAGTGTGCTTGAGCACACGCTCAGGAGAGTTCGGACAAAGTTTCACAAGCATTTACTCCTGCATCTGCACGCCACTCCAGTAGTAGGACAGATTAGGCTGTAGTCGAATGCTGGACAAATCCAAGGTGATATTTTTGTTCAAATTTGCAGTGGATAGTAAAACGTGCCAGATTTCCTCTGGGTGTATGTAAGACTGCCCAGTACAAATCTAATCCATCAAAAATAATAGATTGGGATTGCAGAATGAGGTTACCCTGGAGCAGCATGATCCACACTGGCAAAACCCCCCCTCTGCTTGGGGGTTTCTGTGTCCTCTGCAGCAGCAGTGAAATGGTAGCAGGCACACAGGGACAAGGACAGGAAAAATTAGTACTATCCCTAGTTTCTTTATTTTCTTCTCTGGAAAACACGATTAGGTCAGCATTCCTGAAAAAGGTAAAGTACTTTTTGACTTTTGAGTACAGAAATGGTGCACAATGGCACTGTCCCCAGAGGCTGATTGAAGCTCACAGGGTCTTCAGAGAAAATGACGTGCAGCTCCCGTGCACCCAGAGGTCTAACTTTCTTCTACTGCAACCTTCAGTTCCTCTCTTCCCATTTTTATCCACTTTGTTTGGATGAAAGGTGAGAAGGAAGAGGAGGAGGTGCTCTTTCAGCTGGAGGCAGTTCAGCAGCCGTCAAGGAAGGCTGCTTTTGCGGGGGTGCTGCCTTGGCCGGTTCTGGGGGGAGAAGGAAACCCTGGCTGGGTAAAGGTGCCATCTGCTCTGCTCGCCTCTTCTGACTTTTTCTTTTTGAGAGAAAACGTGAGCAAATATTCTCAGCTAAATGTTTATTTGAAGTGAAAACAAGCAAACAAACAAAAACAACAAACCCCGGCGTTTCTGTGAGCTTCCCCTTGTGAAGACTGCTCGTTTTCAGCCACCGAGCCCTGTTCCTCTTTCCCTGAGCAGGGCCGCCCTCGGTCCTTCCCCCGGGCCGCGTTGCCAGGGGCGCGGCTGTGGCCGGGAGCGGCTCCGGGCCTGGCGGGGGCAGCGGCGCGGCGGAACTGCGGTAACCGGGGACGGGGCGAGGCAGAAAGGGCCGAGAGGGTTGTTGGTCTAAATAGGGCTTGGGGTTGTTTTGGCAGTTCCTCTATTAGGGAATAAAGCCCCCATTTTGGAAATGTGACCCCCTTCCTACCCCCCTTTTTGTCGGTGTTGCTGTAGAGGCTGACACGGGCTGGCTGTAACCACCCTTTGCAAGTCATCTTTGCAGCATTCAATTTAATCTCGCCTTTAGACACCATCGGCCCGAAACCCCTTCCCCCACCCCCCCAAAAAAAACCCCAAACAAACAAATCAAACCCCAAAACAAACAAAAAGCCCCAACCCCAAAGCAGAGCTCCTGCAGGTGCAGAGCTGTACCCGGTGGTCCGTGCTGGTGCGATGGAAGCCCCATGAACTCCAGCTGATCATTATAGCTTATCTTTGCAGGTTCAAGGCCAGAAAGATTTTTCTTACTAAGTGCTGCAGAAGGGAGTAGCTTTCACAGAGCAGGAATTTATAGTTATCTTAAGAATTTCTTCTTTGCATTTCTTCCTCCTTTGAAAGGGGTTTTCTGGCTTTGATGTGAATTTAAGGGAGACACTAGAGTATATTGCTTGGAGGGATCAAACCCTTGTACTAAAGACATAATAGGAACCTTGTAACAGTTTTGTGTTCCAAAGGATAAACAATTTATTTGTGTGAGCAGTTCATTTAGTTGAACATCAATTTTGTAATGAAGCTGTATTGTTCTGAGACAAAAAAATACAGAATTTTGGTAGTTTGTGGTGGCAAAACCAACCACCATTATATTAAATACAACTGTTATGACTCAATTACAAACTTTTTGCTAGCACTGCTTAGCGACAGAGTTGACAGTAACCTGCTCCACATTTTAACCAACCAGAAGTCAAATAGTTTGTGTGTTGATTTTGGGACTCAAAAACACACTAGAAATTACATGTTTATAAAATGTAAGCTACAACTGCTAAATCAAGCTACAGCACTAATCAGTTTTTAGTTGTGTATATGCCAATATACTTAAGTATTTCTAAAATATTTTCATTTTGTTGACTGCAGTAAAGTATAGAAGGCGTTATAGGAAAATTGCAGCTGTTGGCAGTGCATGATGGTCTGTTTTTTATATCTACCATTTAAGTAGTTCTGTTACAGAAGTTATTTAACTCTATTTAGCATTGATAAAGTAAAAACAGTAGAACAATTTGTTTGCACAAATCCCTGCATAAGCACTTAATCTTGTCTTAGCAATTACCTTTTTTATTGTTTAGGGAATAAACACAGCAGCTCCTTGTTAATCATTTTGGAAAAGCTGTGAGAGAAAGTGTCAGGGGAGTTCCAAATTCCGTAATTTGTCCGTACAGACAAAGGATGAAGTCAACCAGAAAGCATGTTAAGTAATGTTTATAGTAGGTGATGTATCTCTCTAATTGCCTTCAGATGACTGTTGTCTTTCATCACATTAAATACATTTATTATATTTAGATGCAAAGTCACCTCATCCTAAGAGAAAAACACAAGATGGAAATGCTTTAACTGCTTCTTGTAGTAGTAGCAGCAGGTAAGACTAAAATTTTGCTTGTAATGGAGCTCTCATTTGGGCCCATTAATCAAGCTCGAAATTGGCCTCTTTGAGGCCAATGAACAGCAGGAGTGATTTTTATCTTTTCAGTAATACCTTTCAATGATTACTGTAAGGGGAGGAGGGTAGAGCTGAGCAGTACCCTTCTGAAAGGAATTTAGAAAATCTCTTTGGTAATTTATTTGAGCTGCTGAAAACACTTAAGTTAGTTTTACATGTTTCTGGAAGATTACATTAACACTAATGCAGAAAAACTCCATTGGTATATAACAATAAGAAAAAAAATGCTGCAAAGAGTGAGTTGGCCTAGTTACAAGAAGGAATCAACAAGAGGAAATAGGACTTTACTGAGTGGGTAGTAATCAAAAGTATTTGGGTGTTTCTCGCTTTATAATGTTCAAGCAAGACAGATCTGAAATAGTTATGAAATATTACTTGCAAATTTTGATTTCTGTTAATATATAATTTTGAGATCCCTGATAGGCAAACTGGGCAAAGTATTATCTATAAAGAAGCCCCAGAATATACATACAAGACAGTTAACTTGTGAACCCATTTTTTCCCACCCCCTGAAGTCACTCCAGTCAGGGAGTTGGCCTATTCCAGCTAACCAGTGACAGGACAAGAGGACACAGTCTTTAGCTGTGCCAGGGGAGATTTTAGGTTGGGCATTGAAAGGAATTCCTTTACAGAAAGGATGGTTAGACATTGGAATGGACTGCCCAGGGAGGCGGTGGAGTCACCATCCCTGGACATGTTTAAGGAAAGACTGGACATGACACCCAGTGCCGTGATCTGTTTGACATGGCGGTGTTTGGTCACAGGTTGGGCTTGATGTTCTCAAAAGTCCTTTCCAGCCTCATCAGTTATGTGTGATTCATTTTAGTCTGTTTTTATAGATGTAAGCAAAATCTGAGTCACTGTGGAATAGTGTCTGAACCTTCTCATACTCATTGCTGTTTGTAGCTTTGTGCTTTTCTGAGATGATGTGCATGCTGGCTGGCTGATACCAAGAAAAATCTGCAGCAGCCAAGTGTGAAAATTTTTCAACTACCCATTCTTTCAGGTATTTCATGCTGGATGTCATCTTTCTGGTTGCAACAAATAATAATAATCTGCTGCTACATTTTATTTTCAGAAGTTAGAACAATTTTATGCACGTATACACTCATGAATATTCATTGTCTCGAGAAAAAACATTGCAGATTTGGGATATCTGATTTTGTTTGATTTCAGAATATGAAAAGTTATGACACTGGGATTTATAAAAATCATTGAATAGCTCACTGAGTCCAACCACTGTACCAATTCCTATACAAATATGTAGGTAAAAAGGGCCCACTGATTACCTTAACATCTGAGGGGGAAAAAAGATGTATTTCAGTTAAGATAGATCCTGTGTTATCACTCAGATCCTTTTAAAATGTATCAGTATAGAAGAGGTGCAGGACAAAAGGAGAGGTGATATAAAAACTTGGAGCACCTGGAAAGCAGTGGCAAAGGAAGCAATCACTGCATGAAGGCTGCCTGTGTAGCTGAACTGGTGAATGTACCCGGGACAAACCAACGTGAATGTGCCTGTTTTGGTTAGATGTGTGTTTGAATACTGTGGAGACAATCAGAGCTCATAGGCTACTAGAGAAACTTTCCCAAGGTGTTCTGCTTTCATGCCCAGTTTTACTGATGGTAACCTATGATACAGTTTAGTAAAGCATATCAGTGAAAAAAGAATGTCATATGCCATTGTATTACAGTCATTATTTTTCAACCTTTTTTCCCTCCTCCCCATATTTGTTCTGTAGAAACAAAGGAAGAATGAAGTCAACAAAGGTTCGTGAGTCATCATTTTTGGTATGTCAACCCTTATGTGTTTTGGTGCTTTGGGAATGGGAAGAAGAAATCCCTGCCCTGAGCACAGTCTATGACAGGGCATTGACAATTCACTCAGGGTGGTGATGGGTGTTTAAATGCCTACTGGGGGCTTTCAGTTTCAAAAAAGGTTTTTAAAAATTATATGTTTTGGGAGAGGGCTCTGGGCTGTGTGCAGGCAATGGCAGTGGTGGTGGCGTTAGGCAGCATTGAAATGGGAAATACAACAGGAAATAAAGGAGAAGCTGCCAAAAGCAGAATGGGAGTGAGTGACTTTAACAGTTGGCTGATTTCAAAGTACATGGATAAGTATAAAACTACTGAACAGTGCTGTAGTTTTGTTGTTTCTGAATCAAATGAAGTTTTCCAACTAAAGGCTGGGAGATAAAGGCAGTTATTTGGTAAAAAATGTCAAAACAAAATGGTCAACAATAGTAAAAATCACCATATATTGTTGATCTTCTAAAGAACACCTATTACTAATAAATCTGAAGGTCTGAGAGATATTGCTCTTAAGTATTGTAAATATGGGCTTAGCTTTTATTTAGCATATGAAGTTAGATGAAAGCTTTATTTTCTTGCAGATAAGTGGAAAGAGATCAAAAAAATTAATGTGAGTGGGAGAAACACCCAAAACCTAGGTTATTTAGAGCTGATTAAGTGTTAATATATTAAGACTTGTGTCTACTCTCTAATTCTTTTAACACTTCATTAATTCTATTTTCCTAACAAAAATCAGTATAGATTACATAATACTCATGAAACATTAAAAATCTGATTTTTTTTCCGCAGATAGAAAAGTGCCACATCTGCATTACAAATTCTACCCCTATAGTAAAGTCATGCCAATTTAACTGAGTTCTCTGATAGGTCTGATTAAAGATCAGATTTGTGATTGGCTGATGGCAACCCACAGAAACATAGAAAACTATTAATTTTAGAGCATGCATGTTTCCTGCTAAAAGTATGATGGTAATACCAACTTGCCTAGGGTGGTGCCACCATGATTAGTTTTACATTTACCAAGGCACTGGAGGATGCAGAGATCTGCCTGTGCAAATCTCGCTAAAACTATAGATGAGGCAAACAGTAATCCTGTTGACCTTGGCACCTGGCTTCTTTTAAACTTCTTTTAAATCCTTCTGGGTGTGTAGCTGCATCTTTAAAGTGTTCATAATTTAAAAATCTAATTAGTATGAAATGCATAGATTTTGGAAGTTTCAGCTCTAAAACTGTTACGTTGATTATTGCTGCTGAACCAGGGCTTCTTTTCTTCAGCTATGCTCTGAAATGTATTTATTTCACCACTTTTGAGATGTACGCCTTCTTTCTGTAAAGTCGTAAGTTGTGTTTCTTTTGGGAAGAAAAGGAAAAACCAACATTCCTGCAGTACTATAAATGTAATAACATACATAACCATCATACCCAGTGTTACTGTTTGCCATCTCCATCCATGTTTTTGCAGCCCTGGTGTATTACAGAGCAAGAAAAATGCCCTCTACATTAAAGAATTTTATGTGGTTGTACATGTGAAATAAGCAGAGTGAAACAAAAGTAAGACAAGAGCAGCAAGGAGATGGCACATGCTTTCCCTCACTCCCTCAGAACCATGATAAAGTGTTGAGAAAATTAGCAGCCTCTTTATCTCCAAGATAATGTGCTGTGTTCTATGTGGCCGTGAGTTTTCTGCATGTGTCAGTCTGGCTTGATGAGAGTGGCAGCACCTTTGTGGAAGAGCACAGCTCAGTGTCTTTGAAGGAGATGAATGCAATTAAACTTGGTGGGTCTAATCTAATGTCAACTAACACAGGGAGGAAAGATTAAAGAATAGAGCTGGTGATATTATAGCAACTAATCCAAGGTGATTTGTCTTCTGCTGCAGTCTAAGCTAGTAGTTTTTCCTTATTCCTCAGGGATTTCTCCATGCGTTGCATGGTAATTACTTTACTAGATGTTCACATATTTGGAAAGTTCTTCAGGGTTTTTTTTTTCCTAGTTGGAATGGGTAGGGGCTGAACTTGTAATTTATCTCACCTTTAAAATTGATGCTGATGTATTAAAACATGAAGAGAAGATGTTTTTGTCTCCATTGCAATACCTTTTTCCAAAAGCAGTCATTATCTGGGGGTGTTTTGCATTTTGTAATTAATACTCAAATGTATCAGGATTGCAGTCTTGGTTTAGTCCTGTGTGAAAGCTGATGGAGAACAAATCTCATGTTCAGTTCTCTGCCATGTGTGCTTCCAGCATAGCCTAAACTTAGTTCTGTTCTGAAGAGGTTACATTTCATCGGTTTTAGTTATTATTGATTGAAAAAAGAAAAAAAGTTCTGTCTAATGAAACTCTACCAAGACTTCAGGTCTGAATTTTCATCTTGAAAGACTTAAGTAACAAAGGCCAAGACATCCAGCACATTCCTTCTCTACTGCAGAAGAGCAGAACATCACAAAAAGGAGAAAGCCTACTATAAAATCTAAAGGGTACAGCTAAAGGGTTGTACAAGTGGTGTGAAGGAGACTGTACTAGAAAGACAGAGGCAGTGCTTGCCATGGAATCAGGACTTGAAAAAGAATGAAAGGTAGTCATTATGGTGGTGGCTGGGAATGAGAAAGCATCAGTCAGGAAGCTGAAGTTGTGTCCAAGTGATGGAGTTCAAAAGGATCTCTAACCTTGAAGGATTAGAAGTGAGAAAGCAAATGGCAAGCCAAAAAGTGACTTGTAGGAGCAGATACAAGTGTCTGAGTAGGCATGGGCTCTTCAGCCTGGTAGAGAGACTGTGGATGTGAGATATGATAGAAATCTGAAAAATCATGAGTGGCACAGAGAGGATGGATAGCCATTGCTTTTTTTTCAACATTTCTTCTGAAAGAAAAATGAGGGGATGTGCGGTGTAACTGAAGTCTAAAAACCAAAGTGATTCTTTGCATAAGAGACCCCTGAGGGCTCCCTTTGGATTTAAAGTTAATACAGATTGAAAGAGTAACTTCATAATTTTGTAGAAAAGGGGCCTTTTGAATGTTACTAAATATACAGAAACTGCTGGAAATAGCCAGAGCTGCAAGCAGTAGGAGGTCATGGGAGTGTTGAGGGGGACCATCTTACTTTAGCACTGGTGCTGGTGGCTGAACTTGGAGATGAAGGTGGAGACTCATAGAAAAGCGAGTTGTTAACCTATTTTTCAGTAAGTGTGTGTTACTCTGGGAATAATACTCGGCACCATTTGGAGTAATGCCCTGGAGCAGCTTAATCAAATGAAAAAGCACTGAAGGAGAAATGTTCCAAAAATGTGATGTCTAAAGGTTTTGTATTCATTCTGTCTTCACAGGAATCTCATGATCACGTTCTTTTGGATATTCCTGTCACTAGAGAGCAGATGAATCATTATCGAGCTGCAGCTGAAACTGCTCAAAGTGAACTTGCAGCACTTTCAGTGAAGTATGACTGTGCCCAGTCAGAGGTACAGCTAAAAATAATTTCAAATCCTTCTCCAAACCTGAGGATATTTTGCAGTTTCCTTATGTGGAGAATAGAAAGCTTGCAGAAACTCCAAAACTTGCTTTTCCTACAGAACTTTTGGATTTTTGTTTTTAGAATGTCTGTGTGAGTTTTACTTTGTTTCCTTCTGTGATCGAGAACTGATTACAGTTTGTATTTGGAAGACTTGAAGCAGTGTAGCTTTTTATCATCATCTAAATGCAATTTGTTTATATTAAAGCTGAAAATTAATTAAATTGTGGTTGTATAAACATTCAGATAGATATCCTCCTCTTCCTGCTGGTGAATTAAGATCTAGCTGCTCATCTTTACTCATGTCTCCCTTTTATTCAAGTTATAGCTCTCCAAATGTGCTCTGCTTTTGTGACCAGTGAAATTGTGTTTGTACTAATGAGGTTGATTGTAGCTAGAGAGGCTGAGGAACACATACACATAATTTTTTATTCTTCCTGCTCTGTAGATGGTGTTTCTAATGAGAGGATTTATTACAGGGTAATTTTTAGAGCTGCCTTATTTCCACAAGTGATTTTTTTTAAACATATAACTGGTTAAAATTGATTTGATTGGAGTCAGCAATGTGGGCAGTGGTCAGTTTTAAAGTGGAGTAAAATGTGCCTTTAGAAGGCATGAAGTGCTTACATTAATTCACATACAGAACTACAGGCATAAGTGGCTGTTGGCTAAGGTTTAATTTGATCAGTTGATCCTGCAGTCACTGCAGGGTTCCCCTACATTTAACATTTATCCAGAACTGGTGCCTTAAATTTAAATTTTAAGAAGCCATACAGAATCTAATGTTCTCATATGAAGAATTTATTACTGGAAATGCTGAATGGCTTTATTGCCAGAACATCTGACTGATTTATAGATTTTTCAAGACAGTGCTTGCAAAAGCATAGTCAAAAAAGCAGCTGTTCATGCTCTTGTTAATAAAGACCTTCATGACCCAGCTGAGGTCAGAGCCTTGTTCTGCTGAGTGCTCTGTAAAACTCATGATATGGGATTATTCTTGCTTTTTCTGCTATTGGAACTGACCACAAAGACAATGGACAGATGAAAAAATATCACATGGGGAGTTGAACCACAGAGAAATTTTAAGGTTATGAACACTCTAAGATACCATAGCTTGGTCCAGCTGCCAAGCAAAGCAGTGCTATTGTTCCTTCAGCTGCTCATTTCCTTCCCCACACTGCCCCACCCCTTGTCCCAGCACAGATGTGTGTTTAGTTTTTACAGTGCACTGCTGTGTCCATGCAATTGAGAAATAATTCCTTTCCTTCTGAGTTGCTTTTTAGCCAGATCAGTTTGCCAATCTTATTTCACCTTGTAGCCATATAAGTGCTTCTTCTAGCACTAAGAGGAGGGTGGAGTATGGAAATGAAGCCCATGAACCCGGGAAAAAGCCAAGCTGCTTTTCTTGAACTCAGTGCTGCTCCAGAGTGTCTGATAGAGCTTTGCTTGCACGTGAAGCATAAGCTTATTGAAGGCTGTGCTGCTGCTGCTGCTGCAAGGCTGATCCTCCTCCCTGATTTCTCAGTGTTAGCCTTTGCTCTGTGATTCTCCTTCTCCTCTGCAAGAGAAGAAGTGAACTATTTTCTATCGTTGTTATTGAAGTTGTTTGTAGGGGAGTCAGACAAACACAGAGCTGGTACGAGGGAGACGAGGACAGCGTGCGTGGCTGGAAAGAGGAGAAGCAGGACCTCCCTTTTCCAAGGCATTTGCTGTTCTGCTGGCTCACCTGGCTCTCAAATTTCTCTGAGTATCTTGGGTCATACTGAAAGACTCCCAACAGAGAAGTGAATTTCCCCTTGTTCTGGATTGCAGTTCAATATCTTAAATATTTTTTGCTCTTAAAATGTTTGCCACAGTTTAGAAGTTCGGTCATTCACCATAAAGAACAGTTAACTTGGATAAACTATTTACCTGTTAATTTTATATGATAGGACAGAAGTTCTTCAGATTGCATCTTGCTGCTTTTAATTGGAATTGTCAGGAAAGCTGAAACATGCCTTAACACTTCTTGTGACAAAAAAGTCCACTTTAAATTACTTATTCCTAATAACAAAAAATCATATGAAAATTTTGTTTGTCTGGTGAGTCTCCCTCAAGTGCAGTCTCCTAGAGAAGCTTCTAATAGAAATAGTTCAATGGAAAATGGTATTTCTAACAAAGAGAGAGAGAAAAATCTACTGAACTCCATGGGCTCTTGGAAAGCTCTAACGTCATCCCTGTAAGAGATCTCTAACATTTAGGGTGATTTTCCTCCTCCTACCCTTCCTTAAAAGACTCAGTTGCTGTTTCTGTGTAAATACAGCTATGGATTATCATACCCAAAAATAGCTATTTGCATAAGATGGGAAGGGGGTGCCTACCATACAATGCTCCAAAAATTTAGTTGCCTCTGAATATGCCTCAAGCCATCAAAAGGCCCCACACTCATACAGCAGCATACTTTGCTGTTACAACTCCCTGCAGCTCTAGATTATCTGTGGAATTGAACACCAGATTTGGAAGCATGCAGGCGGCAGGCAAAAAAGAGGGAATAGTGTTGTTAATAACTTTGCTGTAATGCAGATACATAGGAGACATGAGTTAAGGTTGTGCAGCAGAACTTAAGTTAGACTTTTCCTAAATTCTGAATTAGTAAATAAACTTATTTTCTTGTAAGATGTTGTCTTGAAAAGTTGTATTGTGTTACCCAACAGTAGCTTTTGTTTTTGCAAACCTCTTCCATTGCTTTTTCCTAGTTATGTGAAAGTAAAGTTGTGTCCCTCTATTCAGTCTTGTAGTGATGGAAATGTGTTTCTTGTCACATTACTAAGCTTATAATACAGTCATGTTATTTCAGGCTGGGAAAACTATTCTTTATTAATTTTCTCCTTTTCTATCTATAGCTGCTTAAACTCAGGTCGAGCATGATCTCTAAAGAAGCTTCTTTCCAAGAGCTGAAGGCTGAAGCTGAAAGCCATAAGGAAAACAATGCTAGACTGATGTCTCGCCTCCTTTCTTTGCAAACACGAATCCAGGAGATGGAAGAAGAGCTGTGCGTGCTTGCTGCTTCTAAAAACCAGGCTGAGCTGGCAGCTCAGGTGGCATGTAAGGAAAACTTGGAGCTGAAGGAGGAGCTCCATGAGAAAAGTGCAGAACTAAAGTAAGAGTCACGTGAGATAAGAAACAACTTTTTTTTGGGTAGGATGATGGAATGGTACAGTTGTCGATATAGAAAAAGAATTTGTCGATATAGAAAAAGTTCTGAATTCTGTTACAGTGCCTGTGTGTGTGGAAGGTGCTGAAATTTGAATTTTGTTTTGAGCTGGTAGTCAATACCTAGAATGTTTTGTACTTTGAAGGTGAAATGCATTGAACTTATAAAACATAGTATCCTTTAAGTGTACTGTTCTTAGCATAGTGTATCAGAGCACTGATATGTCAGTTCTACATAATTGCTCATGTTTCGTGTCTGTAGGATGGAGACTCGTAGCAAAATTGATTGATATGAAAATATTCTAAGCTCTTAAATTCCAAAATCAGTGTTAGTCCTATTAATAGTCACCTGGACTCTTTTAATGGATTTTTTTGCCCATTATCAGACTAGTATTTGTGACTCCATCAATACTGTCTAGAGCAAGGAGTGAGTGTTTACCAGAGCAAGGTGAGTGTTTACCAGACACCTGTCTTTCCCAAATCAGTGTTTGGCACAGCTCTGCCAGGTTTTATGCATTAAAAGTGAATAATTAAGTCATTTTAAAACTTAGAGAAAACCATTACAGCGCACTTGTTTATTATCAGCTGATTTGCCAAAAGCCCTGCCTGGAGAGTGCAGTTTTACATAATGGCTGTTAAGATTCTTTAAAATGCTATTTCAGGGAAAAAAAAAAAAAGAAGAAGAAGAAAAGGGAAGAAAAACCTCCTGTCCTGTTTGCTTGCCTAACTTGCTGGGAGAAAACTTCTGGAATACTGTGTTTCATACTTGCCTGCAATTAAAGTGATACAATCAATTTTAGGGGCATAAATCTCTGCTGTCACTCCCAGAGCAGTCCTGGCTGCTCTCTTTGGCATACAATACTTGTGTAATCAGTTTTGTTTGTGCTGATGCGTGGTGATCAGGGGACTGCTCGAAGAGAGAAGTGAGCAAAAAAAAAAAAGCTTGATTTCCACCTCTACCAATCCCAGCTCTGGTTCACTGTGCACCTGGAGTGCGCCACTGGACTTCTGGCAAAGGGGAAGAGATACAGGGATAGTGACTCTGCTCATTTGGAAGGAACAAACATGCTGGATTGATCATGAATATGCAGTGTTTGCTTCCGAAGCTTTTGTTGTCCTCAGCTGATGGTTACATGTGTCACTTCACACTAACCAATATGTTGAGTGAACTTCAGTCCCTTATTCTGGCCACCCTGGTAGTGCCTGGCACATGACTAGTCCTAATTAGGTGTTCAAAAAAGATTTTCACTGAAAACCACTAATGAGAGGGAAGAGCAAGCCAACACACATGAAGTGCATATTTACATTCTATACCTTGGGGATACAGTAAGAAATGTTTGGTGAATTCTCTGATTGGCTTCCAGGATGTGCACCTCTGCTACTGAAAATGGTGCTTTTCTGCTCGACATGTCTATTACCATGGTATTTTTAGAGTGTGAACTGTCAAAAGCTTTTTTCTTCTTCTTTTTCCTTCCCTTCTCTTTGCTCATTAGTTCTGAAGAGCTAGCAAAACTGTGAAAAAGCTGTGTTCTACTTTTTTGTACCTGATTGCCTATTTTCTAGGGGCTCACACCTCTGCGGCCCTACTGCAGGTAATTAGATTATTCGTAAAGTTATCAAATGAGTGCTTTGTACTTCAGATTTTTTATTTTTAGCAGCAGGCATGGTTTTGTTAGTGGATACCTCTGTTTTTTAGAGCCACGGAACAGTTGTGGGTGGTCAATCTTACATAATATTCTGACATATAGGCATGCATATATGGCACGCCTGAGCCTAATACCTTTTCACTTCTGATATATCCCTCCTCACAACAACAGTTCAGCAATCATCTCATGGTTTAGTTTTGTTGGGGCTACAGAGGAAAGGAAGGTGCCCAGAGGTGAGGAAGCTGTGAGGGTGCTTGTGTTCTGGGTGACAGTGTCTGCTGCAGAAGGCAGAGCTCTTTTGGCTCATGGTGTGTGCTGTGCAGCACTATGTGGAACTGCCCTCACAGTGCCCAGAGCAGTAATGAATGTTTTCCATTCCCCTCTTTATTCTGCCCCTGTCTTTCACTTTGCAGCAGGTTTCAGCAGCTGTGCTGATCCCCCTCCTAAGGTTATGTGTTAAATCTTTTCATGGACTGTCTGTTTTGCTTACTGATTTATAAGCATTCAATGTACTGTGTTTGCACTCACTGCATCTCCTGTTGGAGTCTCGTGGGCTCCTGTTAAATGCCAGCTGAGAGAGTAAGAAATCAGACATGGAAAAGAATGAGTCCAGCAATGACTACTGGGCCCACCTTAAAAACTGACAATAGTGCTACACTCTGATAAGCAAATGAGTTTCAATAAAATATTTTTTGCTCTAGGCATGCATTTGGTTACATCTCAGGTCTTGATTTATTCTAGAGTGAAGAACTTGCTTTAGAAAGAACCTTATTTTTCAAATGGAAGCTTGTCTTGCAAATTTACCACTACCAATCTACCATGTCTTGCACTCTTCCACTAAGTACCTGACTCATGGGTGTTAGTGAGAGGTACTGGAGTTGACATTTGGATTACACTAGTGGTTGTTTTGATCTCTGTTTGGTTGGCTGGTTTTGCTATCCTGTTTGTTTGTAGTTTTTCATAAGTGATGTGTGTTTCAGCAGCATGAGCAAGATTTCCTCCATTTCCTACCGAATCAGACTGTGATGGTTCTTGTTTGCTGGACCCATTGTTGTCCCTGGCAAGGGAAGGAATGTAACCACATTTATATTAAACTCACTGTTAATTTATTTGTTGTTGTTCTCATAGAGTATTTACAAACTGACACCTGCTCTTAAGGCTGAGAACGCATTTCATGTGGGATATACATCCATGTGATAGGCTCCTGTTGAGTGAAACTGATGGCAAAATTGTGATGAAATTGCTGGCAAAAAGTTCCCTTTTCTTAATATCTTTGTGGTAGCCCCTAGATGCTGTCTTTTTGAATACATCCCTTTCATGAGTAGTGCTTCAGAGTACTGCACAGCAAAGTAGTGTCTCCCATCTCTGCTTCTGCTGGTAATCTTCCCTTCACAGGTACTCTGGATGTCTTACACTTCCATTGGTCCAGAAAGGCTTCTCTTTACTTGAACTTTGTTAGTCATCTCTGTCAGCTTCTTTAGAGAGAGGGGATGTGCTTTTTGCATATTTTTGCTATGAGTTGATCACTCTCTCCCCCCCCACTTACTTTTTCTAAGGTTTTACTTGCAATTTCTGCTTGTAGTATCTTGAGGGCACTATTTATTCATGTCACTTAGTTCTTGTGTTTTATTCAAATATGCTGAGAATGAGATTGGGATCATAGAAGATTTTTTTAAGTGTTTATCAAAAGCAATGATGAAGAGATGTTTACACATAAGGCAACTGCAAAAGTTATATGTATTACATAACAGATACAGAGAATTAAATGTAACTTTTAAAATTCATTTGGTGGTATGCAGAAGCTAGCAATAGTCTTGGGACAATGTATTTTGCCTAGAATTCTTTTTCAGGGAACATTCATCCTGACGTGTATATTTTCTCTGTCTGGTTAGTAAATATTTGAATGAGTGTGAAGAAAACATGACTCAAGCTTCTAAAATCAGTAAAAACTATGAAGAGCTCCTCACACATCTTTCTGGATTCTTGGACGTAGACATCAGAGAAAAAGAGAAACCACAAGAAGATTTAACATCAAAGGTGATTGTGTAGGCAAATGTTTCTCTACAGTGATTTAACAGAAAAATATTTAGTTGTCACAGAAGTAAAGCAAATAATAAAGATCTTTGTATTTAATTATGGTTTGCAGACAGTGCTATCATTTAAAGACGAATTTTTTTTTTCCTACTGGGCTAATTTTCAAAGGTGCTGAAGACTAATAGGCCTCAGTGAACTCAGTCTCCCTTATCTGCATAAATAATTTATGAGCCTGTAGTTCCCACATACAGCCCTGCTTAGATACTTGGTTAAAAGCTTTCCTTAAAACATTAATGTGGGGGTCAACAGGTGATGTGTAAACTGTAGTGCTAGATCTTATCTCTTATCTTGAGCTGACATGCCATTAAATACAAACATCTGAAATGGCATGCCCTAAAACAACCTTTTCTGTGTTCTGTAATAAAATGCTGTAAATAACTTTGTGGTGCTTCTGAGACTTAATAATAAAAATTTATAATTTCTCTTCAGAATACTTTTGAAGTTCCAAAACTAAGCTTCCATTTAGGAGAAGAAAGTTGCTTGTATATTCTTTTAACATCTGTCAGTGCTGCTGAAAGTAATTTTATTCTAATTTTATGCATTTGACTCATCTTCTGTCCACTCTTTGATCTCGATTTTTCTTTACTTTGGAGCACAATAGATATTTGGAGAAATTCTATTTCATAATGTTCATGTCATTGTGAGATTACAGTCTTAATAAATCAAGATTATCTAGGTATGTATCCCAGTGAGTGTACGCCCTCATAATATTACAAGCACATTGAAATTTTAATAGATGCTGTAAAAACATTGCCACGCAAGATGCACTCTTGCATGCTTTAATAATTAATAACTTAATCATTAGAGCTTTAAAAAACATATTTTCATGTCTTTTAACAAAGTAGTAATAAATCTAGTTGGGAAATCTAATTTGTGCTGAAAGCTGTGCCTTAGGAAACCTTAGCAACTAGTTTTCCTGGGGTCTTGGCACATCTATTTAGCTTCTTTTCCACATTATGGTTTTATTTAAGACAGAATTGATCTGTTTTAGTCTTAACAAATGTCTTGCCAGCAGGAATCAGGGTACATTTTTTGCTCGCTCTTTGAAGTGCCCGCATTTGTCTATTCCACTGATTGGAAATAGCACAGTGTACCAAAACAGCCCTGGAATCCTCCTGGAAAGGACTCCTTTTTCCAAGGTGTTGGCTGCTCATAATGTCAGCACACCAGGTATTTGGCCCCGTCCTTGAATGTGCTCATGAAATATCTGTTACTAACTCCAACCTCTGGTGCTTAAAAAGTTTTGAGCATGAATTGCAGCTTTCTTGTTTCAAATGAAAGGCACACATCTTAGAAAGCCAGGCTGGAATGGTTTGCTTTTCCCATGAAGGAGCTGCAAGGTCTGTTTTCTGACCTGCCTCGTGTCAAGCATGGACATGCAGCAGCAGTAGCTCTCCACCTGTTTAATACATCATAAAGTCTGTGTGGGAGCAAATCTGAATCACATTTAGCTAAGGTGGGCGTTTATAGTGGGAATATAATTCTATTATTTTAACTGTCTTTCTACTCTTTTTCTAAAGGGGCAGTCGAGTGCAGTTATAAGTCCGACCTAGGGGTCACCAGAAACATTGAGTCTTTATTGGCATGATTAGGAGCAGGTATAACTGGGATGAATATTTTTAATTTTTAAGAGCTTTTAAGAAGCTACTAATATTTGATTTATTTCTCAAGGTCTCTGAAATATGTAAAGAAAATGTGACACTAAAACACCAGGTTGCTGCTCTTCAAGAAGCTGTGAATGTCCATGAGATGGAGTCTAAAGCTAACAGAGAAACTATCATGAGACTGGTTTCAGAAGTGGCCAAGGAGCAGAAAAAGGCAGCAGGACACTACCAAGACATGGAAAAACTTAGTAAGGTACATAATTGCATGGCATGTATGCTTGTCTGGTTTTCAAATTAATTTTCAATAGAAATTGCATGAGAAAAAATTACGTTGATTAGGGTCTTTCCTAAAAAGGACATTTTTCTAAGGTTATTTTCAACTTTTTGAAAGTGAGATACGAAGATTAAACAATAACAATTTGTAAAATAGATCTGAGGTAGATTTGATGGCTTTCAATGCTGTTTGCAAATTTCTGTTTTTGCTGTCTTCTTAGTGTTGTAACCTTTGTGCTTGCACACACATGTAAATAAATTAACGTGTATATTGTTAATATCTCAGGCACAAGTATGAAGAGGTGAAAAATGCTTTTTAAAATAATATTTATTTGATACTGCAAGTCTTCTGAGAATTTTTCGACTCAGTTTTACAAAAATTCTAATGAGAAATTAAAAGGAATTGATTGGACACTATTCTTTCTCTTAAAGCACTGGCAGGTTAAGTGTTTTGGCTTCCATACACCCTAGATTATCTTTTCACTGCATTATAAATTTGTATTTCATAACCATAGTCCAAAAGTTGTAGCAATAGAATGGCTTTCGCAGGAGAGCAAGAAGTTTCACTGTTGGGAAGCCTTAGAGGAAATCTGTGCAGCAGGAAGGATGGTCAGATGAGAAATGTAAGTTAAGTTGTAGGTCAGGTATTCCAAATTCACCTAGCTATGATTTGTGAAGGATGTGATTTAAGGATTGAATTGCTCCAGGAGCACTCCCCATTAAGAGTTCGTATATTTCAAACGATGGATGAACAAAGTGCATTTCTGTAGAAATTTTCCTTATTGCTCTGCACTTTGGATGATGTCTGTGGAAAGGAAGCAGTTTAGTGAAGCCAGAATGAAGATTTCCTGCAGGTGAAATAGAGCAGTTAAAGCTGATGGCCAGAATGTGAGAAAATAAGAAAGTCAGACTGCCAAATGCATAGCTGAGTTGTGTGTGATTGAGTTTGTAGGAATTTTTAACATAAAGACAACCTTGTGCAAGTGAGTTTTCCAAAGTAGTACAGCATTTTCCCCACCCCTGGCATTCCTCTTTTCCTGAAGAAGAGACACCCACCATCCACTTTGAAGGATCTAGTGTTCTGATCTGGTTGTAAGCAAAATACTTCGGAGATGAGAAATAGCTGGCAGCCTGCTCTGGAAAAGAAAGAATTTGTGCGTAAGATAAATGTAAGTACCGCAAGGGTAATAAATTTTTATTACTGCTGAAAATAGTTCTTACCAAGCTGTGTGCAATTTTCTAAGACTCAATGGAACAGAGAGAGAGCCTGCACCAAAAACTTATATAGGTCCTTTCTGCAAACATTTTGTTTTCATGCTTCACTTCAAACACAGGTGTGTGAGGAAGAACAGAGTGTAGTTTTCTCAGTAAACCAGAATCAGGAGATGTTTTAAATCAAGATCAGGGCTTCATTTGTGGCTTGTTTTTCAAGTTTACTCTGACTCTGAAAACATTTACCAAGTTGAGCTGTTTTCTGAAAAATATTTTCCTATCGTTATTTTGCATGTGCCAAATACGTAATTTATTTAACCAATTTTACAGAAATATCTTTCTAAATTATTAGCATTGCCTTTCAAAAGCATTGCCTTTGAAAAGCCCCATCTGCATAGAGGCTGCAGATTCCTCCAGTGCAATTTCAGTTTAGCAATTCAGATTTGCAGACACTGAGTAAATCTGTTGAGGAGGTTTTGTGTTCACAAAATCATATGAAGAAGTTCAGTATTGAAAAAGAAAGCAAAAGACAAAAAATGCTTTGTGTCCTCACATGTGAAGTGTGGGATCCTCTGTTCCCTTGATGGGTGTGTGGCTTGGTTACAGGAGGGGCACCAGTGGCATAAGCCAGTCTGACTTCACCAAGTACCTCATGCAGCACAATTTAAGCACATGAAAGGAGCTGCATGTGCTGTGACATGTTCCCCTGTCAAGGTGAGAAGCAGAAATCCATACTGCTCCTGTGCCAGAAGACTCATACTTGGCTGAGTGTTTCTGGGCTGGTTTTGGACTTAATTAATGGAATTGCCTGTAGCTGAATTTACCCAGCAAAGGCTGAGTACAAGTGACTCTTGCTTGTGTGTACCAGCAGCTCTCAGGGTCAAACATTTTGGCCATCTTCACTATTTCCCCCAATTTTCTCTTAAAATTCTTCCTGAGTGTATAGAGAGCATCACACTGTTCTGTCTGTCATCTCCACCAAGATTTGGCCATCACACTGTTCCCTGCCACCCCTCTGAATAATTGCCTGTTTTAATTGCCAGGTAGTTCTCCACTCCCATTCCTTAGGAATTCTATGAATTCCTTCTCTTGATCAGGTGCTTTTTTTTTTTTTTTTTAATGTCCCAAGAGGAAGTAGCTGCCTCTATGCAAAAATGCTTACTGAATAAAATGAAAGCCAGTTAATTCCATTTTAAGGCTAATATATTTAAAATATTCTTTAGCATGTTTAATACATGAGTATTTGTTGCAGTTAGCTGGGCTTCATTTGAGGAATATTAACAAGTGAACAATTATTTTATCTGTTCCCCTCTCAGTCTCCATGCATGACAATATCAAGCAGCAGAGAGTAAAAGCCAATAATTCCTGAAGCTAATAAAAGTAAAAAAACCCAAACATTCAAGAAGCTGTTTTTTTCTAATCCATTACTTTTATTTATTTATGAATATATTCTTCTATTTGTTTCTGAATTTCTCATGCTTCTGATAGAATATTGCAAGATTTTGCTTCTGGAAATCTGTAAATATTGTGCATACCTTTATTATGGCTTCATTCAATATCAAATTTGCATTTGATGAAAAACAACTTTTAAATCCTGCCCAGATTTATAGACTGCGGATCAGAATACCCAAACTTTCTTTCTGTATTTCCAGAGAGTGATTACTGGTTATGCTAATAATAATTAGAGAATTATAACATTCTTTGAGAGTGTCTATAGGTCTTCTAAAATGTCTTATTTACTCTAAGCAAGTTTCTTTTTAATATTTAATAAATTCCTCTATGGTATTTACCTAAGATATAGAAGAGGATGCATATATTCTTCCAGATTAATTTAAATACAGCATTGCCACAGATGAACCATAAGAACTAGTAAACCTTCTTGTTGTGTTTCACATTTTTGCTGATGGTTCAACCTGGAAATATTTGTGATTTCCCTCTGAAGTGTTATTTTAAACATTTGTTTTGCAAAGATGTGCACTGTGCAAAACCTGTAAAGAACATACTTGAAATATATGCAAGCAATTTTAATTAATACAAATGTATCTGCATGTACTACTGATGCCAAATTAACCAAGAAAATACTCTACAGTATTCAATATTGGCTTATATTGTTATGTTAATGAACAAAATAGAGCTAAGTAGTTTCTAATCAATATAAACATATTAAAATAAAATCCATTTTATGAAAAGAGTTAATTAAAATATGAAAACCTTATTTAAGGACTTTGATTGCACTTGAGAAACATAGCTACATTTTGAATATACCAAAATACTTAGATTGTAGGAGAGACAGCCAAATGATTTTAGGTTTTTCTTGTCCCAACAGATAAATACAGGAATGAGTTTCTCAAAACCTGGATTTTTTTGTTTGTTTGTTTTTGTTTATAAGATGTCATTAAAAAAATATTAGAGGCAGGTTTCAGCAGGAATCACAGATATTTCCAGACTGAATAATTTGAGAAGAGAGGAGATAAGAGCAAACTAGCTTGCAATCCTTCTGGTATTAACAGTAGTAACTGGAGGTGCAGCTGGTATAAGAATTGATCTGGAAAATACCTGCATTCTTTTAATACCTTATTATTACTGTTAATGTAATCTGGGCTCTTTTTTGTATATGTATACATAGTTGAATTTAGTCTATTGAGAGCATGCTGCTGATTGGGGTGTCAGTATTAATAGAATCATAGAATTATTTGGGTTGGAAAGGACCTGCAAATTCATGGAGTCCAACTGTTAACCCAGCACTGCCAAACCTGCCACTAAACCATATCCCTAAGTATCCTGTATACAGTATCCTGTATCCTAATATCCTATATATCCCTAAGTATATCTCCAGAGGTGGTGACTCCACCACTTACTTCCCTGGGCAGCCTGTTCCAGTGCTTCATAGCCCTTTTGATGAAGAATATTTTCCTAATATCCAATCTAAACCTCCCCTGGCCACGATTCAGGGCCATTTCCTATGTTTCTTAACTGGGAGAAGAAATTGACCCCCACCTGGCTCCAGCCTCCTTCCAGGCAGTTGTAGAGAGTGATAAGGTCTCCCTTGAGCCTCCTCCAGTTTAAACACCCCCAGCTCCTCCAGGTCCTCCTCATCAGACTTGTGCTTCAGACCTGTAACCAGCTCCATTGCCCTTCTCTGGACACCAGAGCACCTCAGTGTCCTTCCTGAGCTGAGGGGCCCAAAAGAAAACACAGGGCTCAAGGTATGGCCTCACCAGTGCTGAGTACAGGGGGACAATCCCTGCCCTGCTCCTGCTGGCCACACCATTGCTGAGCCAGGCCAGGATGCCATCGGCCTTCTTGGCTACCTGGGCACAGCTGGCTCATGCTCAGCTGCTGTTTACCAGCACCCCCAGGTGCTTTTATGCCAGGAAGTTTCCTAGCCACTGTTTGGTGGCTTGTACTTCTTTATTTTAGACTTTGATCTTTTTAATAAACTATGTTTGTTTTCAGATGTTCACAATTTAACAAGATGGTGATTAGGTAAGCTCCCTCGTACTGGCAAACCATTTTAGCACTGCCTTTCTGAAAGGAAAAATACACACTGCTGAAAACTGTAATTGAAATAAATGACTCTTTATTCTTTGCTGTAATTACCATAATGTAGTTCTGAGCACAGGTGGGAATTTTCTATTAAGAGGACATGTCTAGAATAAAAAAGAGAAATTGGCAAGGAATCAGGCCAACATTTGTTTCTAAAACAATTCTAAAATTACTTCAGAAATGTGAAATAACAAATAATTTCCTAAATGACAGGGGTTGTTTTTATTTATGCTTTTGTATGTTTGCCTTTTCACTGCTATTAAAAATTTTACTGGTTTTAGTATCATATTTTTATATTTTATTTTCTAAAAGTGCCCTGCAAACTCCTTTTTTTCTGGCCATATTCCCTGCTGACGTACAGAAATGCTCCCAGATTTTACTGCTTGATTGGCAGGTATACCATTAGTACAAATGACATGCTATGCTCCACAGCAAGCACACACAGACCCTTGAGTAATCACCATATTCATAACTGCTCAGGAACAGTTCTCTAACTCCAGTGTGCACAACCTTAACTCATATCAGTCCACTTACTGAGCCTCTACTTATCACTGAGACCTCCAGGGGAATCCAGTCCCTCTCTGTAAATATTCCATCCTCTGTAGTAATTTTTTTCATGTGTGGAATAATATTCTTTCCCATTTGTTCTTCTCAATCAATAAATGCCCTGAGAAATGAAGACCTAGTCTTTGCTGTACTTTTAGTTGGTCTTGCTGCAAATATTTTTCCTGTATATGTATGTGTAAGCACTCTTAATATTGGTATTGTGGGGAAAGGAGAGACACACAATATTCTTTATCTTTAGATGGTTATTTTTCTTTATTTTTTCTGTCATAATTCGTTTTGGTGTCATGGGTCAGGATGCACAATTCTTTCTGTCTGGTCTGACCTGTTAGGTCAATATTTATATACAAATTATATAGATACATATGTACTGGCTATATTTTATTCCTTCCCGACCAAGCCTTGGTTTGTCTGGTCCCTCACTTCTCATTTCTGTGAATAAATAATCTCAGGAATTTCTGTCACATAAACTTTTTGTGAGATAAACTGATCTCAGAGGTCACCTCTTATCACCGTGTTCAGGGATTGTGTCTCTGGTTTTGGTCAGCTCTGAATTGTCAGGCAGTTGGAGTTGATCATCACTGCAGGTCCCTTCCAACTGAAATATTCTGTTCTATCCCATCCTTTCCTCTCTCAGTTTTAGTACTTTGGCTTTATTTGTGATGCATCTTTTTCACTGCTTGTTTTTCAGGCCATATTGTCTGGATGGAAAAGTAAGATTTCAATAGTTTTACAAAAAAAAATTGGTTTCATTCACCTGAAAATTTTATTTATGTATTCCTTTTTGCAAACGAATATAAGGGATTAGTCTTTAGTGTGATTACAGCAGACTTAAGGTTTTCATCAATTTCAGTGGCAGTTCCCCTATGAGACCCTTATGTTGAGCAAGTATCAGGAATATGGGTCCTAGGTCTGCAGTACCTGCTCCTGAGTTAATTTTTAATCAATTAATTCCTTAATTTGTGTGTTGTGGAGAGGGTTTATAACTGATTCTAAAAAAATCTTGTTTAATTTTTCATGCATTTTAGGATCTTGACAGGGCTATAATAAAGAGGCAGAGTTTAGAGATGGAGATCAGAAACCTCCAAGAGAAACTGACTGTTAACCAGAAAGCTTTGGACACCTCAAAGCAGGAGCTGCACAATCTGAAGAAATCTTCCAGTGAGTTGGATGCAAGCTTGAAGAGTAGCAGAGAAGAGGCCAGGACTGCTCAGAGCTCTTTAGAGGCTTTTAAAGAAGAAATTGCTGCCCTGCTCAGCTGTGGGTCTGCAATAGTTAAACCTTCTGAGAAGGCCATTTTGGAGAGGATCCAAGAAATAAATTGCAAAGAGAAGAATAAAGAAATAGTAAGTCAGCAACTACTGCACTTGCCCAATGTGTGTATTTATTCTGTTTGGGTTCTGTTTAATTTTATTCATCTGGTAGAGTGTTGGTTCTTTCTGCTTAGGTTTTGGAATTACAGAAAACTTTAATTTTGCTGTCTATTTATTTAAGTTAATAGGGGAAAAGCATCCATGTTTTACTAAACAGGAAGAGTTCAGAAATTAAGGTAATAATAGATTATGTTAAGAAGAAAAGACTTGGAATGGTCTTTCAGTTGCAACATTGAAATTTGGTTTCTGTGCCAGCAGACATCAAAAGTGGCTATTTGGTTGCTATGATTTAGTAAAACCTGTGAACAAGTATGGATTTGCTGCTACAATGGTGACTTCAAGAACTGACTTCTTTCTCAAAGCAAATATAATTGATGAGTTGCCACAGGCAACTTCTTTCCCTCCAATCCTAAAAACCTGCACCTAAAAATAAAGATTCTTTTTACACTTACATCTAAACATTATTCAGCATCCAAAGAAGGCAAAAGGAAGTCTCTGGCTTGAGGCATTTGGGCTGGTGGTTTGCAAAGGTGTGTTTGAATGTGTAGATAGAGAAGGGACAGCTCAGGAGGAAGGTGAATCAGAATGCCAGGAAAAACCAACTTTAATATTCTTGCTAGATTTTGAAATTCTAACATCTCCTGCTAATGTGAGCAGCAAATGGTTTTGTATTCTTACCAAGGCTGGAAATAGTTCTTGAAAATATTCTGTGAATTTTGGTGAGGTACTAAAAAAAAACAAACCAAAACAAAAACAACAACAAAAAACACAAAAAACCCCAAAACCAAAAACAAAACAAAAAAAAACCCACAAGAAAACCCCAACAAAAACCCATGCCATTGTCCTTCTTGCCTACCTGAGCACATTGTTGGCTCAGTTTCAGCCAGCTGTTCACCAGCAGCCACACACCCTTTTCCACCACGCAGCTTCCCAGCCACTCTGCCCAGCCTGCAGCAATGTTGTGACCCCAGGGCAGGACCTGGCACTTGGACCTGGCACTTTGCCTTGTTGAACTTCATACATTGGCATCAGCCCATTGATCCAGCCTGCACAGATCCCTCTGCAGAGCCCTCCTACCCTCCTGCAGATCCATACTCTGACCCTGCTTTGTGTCACATGTAAAATGGTTGTCGTCTGAAATTATCTAGTAGCCACATTAAAACAAAAAGCAGGAAAGGGGTTTTTATTTTGCAGGTTGACTGATCAAGCTGCATTAGTCCTAGGAATGAGTAGTTGTAGAGGTCAGAACTGCAGGACCAAAAATGCAGCCTTTATAAAATGATGGATTAGGCATGGGTGGGTAACAAGGCTGAAAGCTCATTTTAGGAAATGCCTACCTTGTGGGTTGTCCCTAAGCCAAGGATGAAAGTTACACCATGATGCCCCAAGATCATAAAATGACAGCTTCTACTCTGCTTCTGTGGTATAGTCCTTCACTTTCTCATGTTTATGGATCTTTGAAGCCTCTAAAACCCCCTCTGCAGCCTGATAAAGGGGCTCTAGGTTCCCTGGCAGTAGTGCATCTGTGGTCACAAATTCTTGTTCCTGTTGGCTGATGTGAAATGCAAAACAGCATAAAATATGTTTGTGGGTTCTTGCAGATTTATTATTGTTTAGTGTTGTCTACTGCACAAGCATCAGTAATTTCTCAGTGGTTTTAGGCAAGTTGGGGGCAAACTGTATTTAATTGCAGTTTGAGTTGGAAACCTTTCAGTGCCATTAAAATGAATGAGAGCTCTGTGTACTTACTGTTAATTTTATTAACAGGAGCCAACAAGATGTTTAAAATTAAGAGGCTGCTTGGAGATTAGTGTCTGAACACTGAGTTTCAAATGCACTATAGTTAACTATGTAACCAAATAATTATATGACATTAAGAAGAATACAGAGGGAAACAAGCAACTTGGTGTATAGAACTGCCTTTCAGTATTTGGCAGTAGTGTAAACAGATGCTTTAAAGTATTTAATTTATAAATAGTTTACAATTTAATATCCATTTCATTATATGCAGGTGTTGTAAAGTTAACAAGAATTAGAAATTTTTCAAAATTGTTCTAATTGCTTGTTTTGAGATTTTTTCCTTTTATCCTTGGGCTCTGGCTAGATTACAGAAATTATTATTACTAATATTTTTTAAAGCACAATCTTTTGAACACTGCTTAACAGTTACCAGTTGGGAAACACTCCTCTGAGACCTAATTATCCATACGTACATTCTCCCCTACATGCTGCATGTATTTTCTAAATAACTTACATTCTTTTTCTAATCAACTCCTCAATGGAATAGTGATTTCTTTGGCCTATTTCAAGGAATGAAAGCTGACTACTAGGTATTGCTGCTGCGCCCACATCTTTGGAAACTTTGTGTCTGAATTACTTTGTATTGATTTTTTAATACTAAGTAATTGTATTTGATTCATCTTATTTATAGTATCTGCTGTTCATTTTTGGGTGTCTCCACTTCTACAATTTTTGCTGGTGGTTACAGATTTTTCTTTTTGATTTTTAAAGGCATATATTTTAAAGATAGATATTTTGCCCTATTTTTAATAATTTGGTGATTTATCTTTCATATCCTTTTAGCATTTCCCACCTAAGCCCATATGCTTTGTTGTTTTGCTTGCTCCCTAGATGGTATCTCAGCTTGAAACACAATTAGCTAAATTGACTAAAGCTTTGGAAAATCAGACCAGATTGTACCATGAAGCCCTGGAGAGGAGCAGGAAAGCTGAAAAATGTTCTGAGAATTTCCACGATCAACTGAAGCACTTGGAAGAGGAATTATTAAATGGAGACCTGATGCAAGATGGTTTGAAGCTTGAGAAACAAAAAGTAGTTGCACACATTATTTACTTTTGAATGGAAGTCACTAAAGGCAGAGGCACAGCTCATTGTATTACTTTGGTCTACTGGAGCAGTGCAAGTAATGTGAAATAGCAAAGTCAGGTGTAGGGAGTAATAATACCTTTTCTTTGACCAACAATTGGAAGATGTAGCTAAGCCTTTGAGTTCATTACTGTGAAACAAAACAAACAAACCCGACTCCCCCCCCCCCCAAAACCCCAAACAAACCCACCAAGCAAAAAACCCCAAAACTAAACTAAACCCCAAAACCAGTTTAAAAGAAGTCCCTGTCAATACCCCATCAGAAGTCCTTCAATTATCTTTGATCTCAAAATTTCTCTCATCTTTATATCTTTCTCTAAACCATAATATGGTCTGCAGTCTCTCAAGATCTTATCTTGTGTCTTTGATTCTTTTATATTATTAGGCAATTATGACTACTAGGGTTTTTTGTCTAATTCTGTGAATGAACACACTGTTAGCCTATAACTCATTCACATACCAAAGAGTTTGAAAAATGACATAGTACCTGGAAAGCCAAACACTACAGCTATGAAAAGCAAAGTTGCAGCATGTTGCCAGGCCAGGATTAGTGCTTAGAGGAATCAACAGTTTTGTGCTATTTGTTTTGTCTTAGACTATGATAAAATAACTGTTTTGAATGAGGCATCCATCACATTGGGAGAAAACTAGAAAAAGGAGCTGTTCCTTCCACTCTGCTTTGTGAATAACATGTGGCCCTAGATTCTTAAATTATTCTCTAAATTTTGCTGCAATCATTTTTTTGCAATTTTTTTCCTGTCAATGAATAACTGCAGTGCTTGTCTCTGCTGCTGCTGTTTTTAATTATTTGAATCATAAATATCATGAAACAGAAAGGTATTCTTGGTAATGAACAAGTGGTGAAACTGTTTTGTTGGTGTTTTGTTTTTTTTTTCTTTTTATTTATTTTGTTGGTTCTGTGCAAAGATAATGGTTTACACCAGAAGTAAGAAGAGACAAAGGGAAACAGTTCTTAGTGAGGAGGGTTTTGGATTTTGCAAGAGAAGCTCATTGAGAGCAAGAGACTAAAGCAATTTTTAAAGAGCAGGATGAAAGAAGGAAAAATTGGATTAAATGCTATTAGATATCTGTATGTGTTTGCATCAGTAAACCAGATGGAGATGCAATTAAAATAACTTTAAAAGCAATTTGTAAACCGGTAAATTATCTCTTGCTGCTTCAAAGAAGGGCTGAAGGCTGATGCAGGTGTTAACCTGCATCTCCTCAGACTACATCTTATGTCATTCATGGCACCACTGGTTCCAGTTCCCTCTGTTTGGAAGCTGACAGTATGGGGCAATCCCAGCACTTGCAGCATTAGTTAGGACACAGCTGCCCATTCTGACTTCTCCCTGCCCATGCACAGCCATGTAAAACAACAGAGCTCCAGACAGGAACTGGAGTCAGAAGCAGGAACCTGCCTGTTGCTGCAGAGAAGCAAAGCCCAATTTTTCTTGCTAAGAAGATAAATACAGTAGATCTAGGGATTTATGGACAAAGTAAGTGTTGACTAAGAAAAGGACATATGGAGAATTTGCAGTTGTGTCAGGAGTGTGCCCAGTTACACCCTTTCAGTGTATTATTTCTTGTGGTGTACTTGTACATATTGTTGGCTGACACTATAGTGGAGATTGCTTTTAAATTGTACTTCACGACTTTCAATGAAATTTTATTATTCTTCTGCCCACTTTCCCACGTCTCAGTATCTGAAATTTCTGGAGCAACTTAATGAGAAGATGAATCTGGACAGTCTAGCAGCAGAGGTTGGATTTGATATGGCCATGGATGTGATTCTGGCCCGGGTAGAGCAGTTGGTGAAACTGGAAGGGGATGCAGTGGTTGAGAACAAGACTGTGGCATACAGCCTCAGAAGGAAGGTATGCAAAAAGACATACCATTCAAAGATAAACATGTGGCTGTGTTTCTGTAGTGGCTTGCTAGAGGCAGCAGACTGTATATGTGCAAGGAATTTCAAAGGTATCCATGATGTAAAAAGAAGATAGTGAATGTTTGCAAACTGTGCAAAAAGACTGCATGTTGAAATAACTAAACCAACCCGTCAGTTGAATGTGGTACTGCTTTTCACAACTTCTTAAGAAAAGAACAATGAATGGATGTTTATATCTGTATATTTTACTACTTTTTAGTATGCATTTATAGTTCTGTAAACAACTGCCAGTAATATTTAAATCTAAAGGGATCTGCCAAGGAGGGAGGCACATTACACAAACTTCTCTAGAAACTGGTAGGGTCTTGGTTGTACTTCACCAAGAATTGCAACATTTCCAACAAGAACTGTTCCTTCATGCAGTTGTTCCTACAGGAACAAAGCTGTTCAAATTTGGTCAAACAACCCTCTGTCATCCTGTTATGACATAGGGAAATCTTTTGGGTTCAGGCATGTCAGACTGGTATAGAGCTGTGAATTGGGTCTGTTTGAGGTTTAAAACAATAGAGAAGCACAATGAATTTGTAATACAAGGAGTATCAAGTTAGGGTATATATGTTGATACTTCTTCACAAAGTTTTCAAGAGAGGAAAAGGAGTTCAGGTTATAAATGCAACATGAGGATTAAATTTGCAATTATGTAGTACCACAGTCTCTCACATTTATTTTTTCAAATGCCCTTGTGTTTGGGAATCAAGTTGAAGGCTCAGAAAGAAAAGCTTGAAAGCAGAGAGCTGCACATGAACCTTCTGCGGCAGAAAATAACCCAGCTGGAAGAAGAGAAGCAAGTAAGGGCTGCCTTAGCTATGGAAAGGGATGAGGCCAATCTCGCTGTCAGAAAGTTACATAAGATGATAGAGAGGCTACAGAAGCAGCTTGATTTGGCAAGGGAAACAAATACTGATCTCAAAGCCAAGCTGTCTGAAACCAGTGAACTTAAGGTGAGTTAAAAGATTACATTTGTACTTCCATCCATTTTTCTATTCCATTTGGATACAGCTGGACTTAATTTAAAATAAATGTGTTCATGGAGAACTGCTCAAATCTAGGTGGCAAAAACAAATATAATACTACAATATTTTACAATTTGTCTTGATATGCTAAGTAGCATCTGCAAAGCACAATGTAAATTTTTGGGCTATTTTTACCAGCAAAACATTTGACAACTCTTTTTAGTATTCTTTCTCCAGGAAAGAGTGTGAACCTTCACTGTGGATTTTCTTTTCTGTCCAGACACCTCTCTTCACAAGAGAGGTATCTCTGTATTCTCTGTGGAGAATTAACTGTCTTTGAAGGAAAAATCTTTTTGTTAATTGTGTTGAAATAGGCCTGTCTCCTTAAATAACTTTTCAGTTCACATGTACATGTGATGATTTAATGAAGAACCCAAAAGAAACCACACTAAAGTGCTTATTTGTGATCACTCCTGATATTTTTACTGTTTGCTCAAGTTAGATGAAAAAGTATGACAAATTTAACACTTCCTTATCTTATTGCAGATCAAAACTTTGGAGCAGAACAGAACAATAGAAGAACTCAGTAAGTCTCAAGACAAATTGGAAAGAATGAAAGAAAAAGCTGAGAAACAACTTAGATCTGCCAAATCAGAACTTCTTTTAAAGGACCGTAAAGCTACTGAAGATAAAGAAAAGAACAAAAATATGTTAGAAGCAGTTACCAGTGAGATGAAGGTGCTTAAAACAACCCTTGCAGAACTAGCAAAAAGAGAGAGACAGGTAGGTGTATAGGTATTTGACAAGTGCTAGGTGTTCCTTAGAGGGTAGGAAAATGGTATATCTGGAGCAGCTACCCAGCTGTGCTTTAAATTGTTCCAAACATGATCAAACAAGGAAATTTTAGCTCACACTTGTGAGCCACAGTGACAGTTGTGATTGCAAAGCTATTCTGCAAGTTAAGTTTTGCACCAGAATAATAAATACAGGCATCATTTTCTTTGCTCATCACAAAATATTACATCACCTTTTAGAGAAGTATTAAAATGCTGTAAAATCCTAGCATCTCTCTTAAGGTATGTCTTTTTCCAAATATCATAAGTATAAAACTTACCGACTTCTCATCTGTTTCCTTTTGTTTCTCACACATTTCATCTCTTGCACTTTCTCTTTGCCAGTTGTAAGAGATTCAACCAGATTAAGTGATAGGATGAAAGGAAGCAGCCTCAAGTTGTGCTGGGGGGGAGGGAGTTTAGACTGGATATTAGGCAAAATTTATTCACTGACAGCATAGTCAGGCATCAGAACAAGCTGCCCAGGGGAGTGGTTGAGTCACCAGTCCTAAAGGTATTTAAAAGACACCTAGACATGGTTTAGTGATGGGCTTGGCAATGCAGGTTAGGAGTTGGACTAGAATCTTAAAGGTCCTTTCCAGCCTAACTGATGCAACAAGCCTGTGTTACTGTGTCTAGGCCACAAATTCAAAGAGTGTTGGAAAATACAAGAAACACCCCTCTCTCCCTAGAACTTTATTAGATTTCCCAGCTAAAAATTTTATGGCATATGTTGGCCTTAACAGTGACTCTGGATGAATTTTAAGAATGCTATTTGAGAAAATTAGTCTAGAAAAAATTTTTTATTTTTGTGAAGAGAAGACCAACAACCTGGGAATCTTTTTTCCCCCCTGGAAATCTTTAACACTGTTTTGTTTTATAACAAAGATTAGAAGTTTGAAAGGAAGTTTTAATTTCTTCATACATCTCATGAGGAAACAAAGCATCTGGCATAGAGAAGATATTAATTATATGCAGGAAATTATTCCATGGAGTTATACATTGAGTATTGTGCTAAAAGCACAAATACAAATGTTAACTTTTTACCATCTGAATCCAAGGGGTTTCAAAACACTTGAATATTGTTGGAATATTCTTTGGGCTTTTCTTTTTGGTCTCTTTCTGTTGGAATAAGACCCCTTCTACTTTCTTGTAGTTACAGTGTGAAAATTAAATATAGCATCTGCTTTTTACTTCCTCAAACCCCAATATCTTGGGTTAATGCTCCAAGTTGCATTAATTTCCTGTTTTTTACTTCTGCTAATTTTACTCACTGAATGGAAGGTGCAAAGAAAATGTAGCAGGAGTGTTGTTGTCTGCAGCATACCTTTGTGTTTGAGTCTTTAGTGCTGTTTATTTCTCTCCTTCATCTGAAAGCTGGATCTTTGCAGAGAGCTGCCTTGATCTTTCAATGTAAAGTCTGTATGGAAACAAATTCCAGGTTTGCTGCCTCTTTATCCTGTCTGTGATCCAGATGTTTAAAAAAAATCTTTACCTTCTGCTAAATACTACTTGCCTAGCACACTGTGAAACCCCTGCATCAGTGACCTCCTGAACTAGTGTAGAATATAATATAATATAATATAATATAATATAATATAATATAATATAATATACAGGAACTTAGGGGTTTTGGTGTAACGTTGTTCCAACATTTGATCCAAGACATCTCATTGCCTAATACAGATAGTTGGGACTGAATTCTCAAATCACAGAATCATGGAATGGGTTGGATTGGAAGGGACCTTAATGATGATCCACTTCCAACACACCTCCCACTGGAAGGGACACCTCCCACTGGACCAGATTGTTCAAAACCCCATTCAGTCTGACCTTGAACACTTCCAGGGATGGGACACCACAAGTTCCCTGCGCAAACCTGTTCCAGTGTCTCACCACCCTCCCAGTAAAGAACTTCTTCCTAATATCTAATCTAAATCTCTCCCCTTCTCCATTTTCCTCTCCCTGTATATTTGTGTAAAATGTTGCTCTCCCTTTTGTTGTTTTTTTTTTGGTTTGTGTTTTTTTTTTTTTTGTAAGCCTCCTTGAAGTCCCGGAAGGCTGTTATAAGGTCTCCCTGGAGCCTTCTCTTCTCCAGGCTGAACAACCCCAGCTCTCTCAGCCCTGACTACATAGAAGAAGTTCTTCAGCCCTCTGATCATCTCTGTAGTTCTCCTTGGGAACTGTTCTAAAAGGTCCATGTCTGTGTTGTGCTGAGGACCCCAGACCTCAGCTCTGTTCTGTATTGGTGTGTTTCTGAATCAATGGCAGCTCCTCAGAGTTTGAAACAAACTGCCTTTGGCCAAGTCTTAGAAACGGAGACCTTGTTTTCAGGGAAGCTGCAAACCCTTTTCCTCACAGAGTTAACTGCTTTAGAATTCTGCACAGTGTTCTTGGGGTTGGAGATATTTCACAACTGTCCATCTTCTCCTTAACCTTAGCCCTTGGCAGGATTGGTGGAGTGAGGATGTTGCCACATCAGAACATGAGTCCAGTTTCTTAATGGTTCTGATGATTTTGTGGCATTTTGAGTCTCTTTCCTGCTTGGGAATGGGGATCTTGGCATTCAAATAGAGAACAAGAAAAGCATATTTCCTAAAATAGTAACATTTTCCTCTTTTATGTGTTGATAAGGAGTATTAAGGCATTTGTCATTTTGGCTGTGTAATTTATTGTCTGTTCAAGAGGCCTTGAAGTTTGATAATGATACATATCGTGAGCTGAGAAGAGTAAATAAGCAGTGATGACAGCCACTTGTGCATGTCTATCCATTTGGAACTGCAAAGAGAAAGCTGGTGTCTTTAATTAATTACTTTACCAAATATTATTCCTATGACATTTTCAGCAGCTATGCACAGAAGAAAAACAAACATTTTCTTGAGCTGCATCTTGAATTTGGGCTGTATCCTGATTCAAATCAAAGTCAGACTGCAGGATTTGCCAAAAACATCCACCTTTCTTCTAACCTCCTCCTTTCTTTTTCTCAAGAAAGTGCAGGGTAGAGGGGAGAGTTGGCAGATGGGGGTCAAGGACAAGCAACTACCTCTGCTCTGGGAAGTGCCCACCAGAGTTTCCAGTTTGCATAGTTTTTGGTCATCTGGGTCAAGTAAAAGTGTGTTTTCCTCAGCTTTTGGAGTTCAGTCAGCAGGGAAGATATGCTTGTGAAAGATACTAAAGAAACACTTGAAAACTGTTTTTTGTTTGAGATACTTGACATCTCAGCTGTTTGTGCTTTGTGATTTGATGCATGCCCCAAAGGGCTGTTTCTGCCCTCTTCTGCTCTCTGTATTGAGCAACAGCTGAAATGCCTATATTTAGCACTGATAACACATGTGCTTGTGTTTGTCCATATGCCTATATGTCCGTGTTTTCCCTGACATCTCCTTTGCTACCCATTTGATTTATTCCTCTCTGTTTGCCCTTGCAGCTGGCAGATTTCCGAGAGGTGGTCTCGCGGATGCTGGGCCTCGACATTGCCAGCCTGGCTCTTCCTGACTATGAAATTATTTCACGCCTTGAAGGGCTGATCCACTCCCATCAGCACCACTTCTTCCCCTGTGTCTGCCTCAGAGATGTGGCAAGGACCCCAGAGGAGCAGCAAAGAAACCTCCAGCTTCTTCACTGAACGGAGATGGAACAAAGTAAAATTTTCTGTTTGCTTCCTTACCTGCTGGACCTCCACAGAAAACAGATCCCTATTTCTGTTCCTTACTCTAGAGACACCAACTAGGGCTGATTTTTAGAACTTCAACAGGGAGACTGATTGGAATGGGTAGAGTCAAGCCAACAGCCTGGAGATGGCAAACAGAAAATCCCTGGGCAGCTTAATACTTCAGTTATGAAAATGATAGGCAACACATCAACAATGCCCTCAAGTTGCAGTGCAGAGACATTGAAGTCATGGGTCAGCCAAGGTCAGCTCACAGTTTTGAGAAGTTACTGAGAAGTACTGAGAAGTTACTTAAGTGGCATTCCTTGTGTTTTACCTCTAGGTGACAAGGATGAAATCAAGCAGGGGTTGCTCTGCTGCTGTTCTTCTTGCCACCTGGGACATCTCTGCATTTTTACACATAATGGCTTTAGCTTCAAGATAATTGTCTACAAGTTAGAAGATTATCTTAATTTTGGAACAATAGATTTTTTTTCTTCTGTTGGTTTCTTTTGTCTGCTTGTATGGCAAAACAAAAAATTTAATTTTTGCGGCAAGGGCTTTGTCACAGGGTCCCATCATGTGCCTCATATAAATATATTTGGTAAAATTGAGTCTTGGCCTTGGTCATGATGTCTTGAAAAGTTTGCTTCCAGCTGCTGTATTCCTTGGGCAATTAATCCACAGTGGCAATTCTTCTGGGTTAATGAAAAATTATTTTAGAATTCTTGTTCACTACAGAAAATAGCTGAACTACTAAAGTGTTTATTTTTAGAGAAGTGATGATGAGGTGTACAAAACTACCTCTTAGTAGTAAAAACTGCTTTCTGAGTGTTGTTAAACATCATGATTTTAAAAAAAATAAATATAGACAATAAATCTGCTTTAATAGTACATTCAAACTTGATTCTGTGATTTTAGTTTTCTCTTCCCATTATATGTTTTGTATGGTTGTGTAGAACAGTAAAGATGACTTAATTATTTTTGTCTTGACCATTTGTGGGCTTTCTACAGTATCTCAGCAAATGACGACCCACTCAGTAAAACCGAACACACTATTTTAAGAAAAATGACACTTTTTCAAGTAAGAGTGGTAATTTTGGTATCTGGCTGGGGACTCAAAACATGTTTTTATTTCATTGGCTTCTGAAGAGTTGTTTCTCATTGACTTGCTGTAAAATAAAGAAATAAACACTCAAGCTTTTGTAAAATCAGTCATTTGAGAAGATAGAAATAAATGTTGCATAAATTCCTATACTCCTGTGGGTAACTGGATCAAAATCAATTTAATTTTTTGTTTTGTAATGTAACATTGCTTTGGGCGGAATGACTTCAACCTGAAAGAGAGCAGGTTTAGATTAAATATTAGAAAAAAATTCTTTTTTGTGTGGGCAGTGATGTAGGGGGATACAATATAAGAAAGTAAAGGTAGTATAGAAAGTAATCTTACCCCATTAAGGAGTTGCAGCTGAGCCAATTATTAGAGATTGGGAACAGGGCTGATGTTAACAGGCCACAGCTGTAGCCAATAATAAGAAGAGTGCTATAAAAGAGTGGATTGGGTGGTTGAGGGGGGAAACTGGAGTTAGTTGGCTGCTGTGAGGACAAGGAAGAGTCAGTGCCTAGAGGAGCTGCCTATGAGAAACATCAAGGAGGTATGAAACTCTAGCAATATGGAACCCTTGCAATGTAATGACAATAGAACTCTTGCAATATGGTAACAACACAGTGAGGCACAGAGAAGTTGTGGATGCTCCATCCCTGGAAGTGTTCAAGGCTGGATAAGATGTAATTTTTAGGCATGATATGTTGACTGTGGATTTGGAGGGTGGAAAAGGATACAATAATTTTCTAATTCTTTGTGAGATAATACAAGTAGTTTCACTTTGTGTTTTGTTGTTTTTATTGGCACTTCTTTTTGATTTGTTACTAAAGAACAAAACCCATTTTCTTCATCCACATTAATAAATATAATATGAAACATGACTTACCGTATTTTGAAAGTTAAGTAAATTGAATTACAAATTCAGGTCCATGCAGCCTAGATAATACATTTATAACATTAAGAAATAGTCTCTGAGAGTGACAAATATAAAGTAAGGTTGCATTGTAAAATGATTTCCTGATGTCTCCAATGAGACTTGAAGTCTTTTGTCAGGTCCATGAGCCTCATCCCCTGGCACCAGCAGTGGAGCTCCAGCCCCACAGAAGCCACCAACATGGGTCTCTAAATTATTTCAAAGGAGGCAGATTTTTCACATGAAGTTCACAGCAATGCTTGATCAGGGGTTTGCGTGTTAAGCCAGAATAAGTAATAAAGGTTAGAATAAGTAATAAAGGTTTTCTAATGCTTTTTTTTTTAACCCAACAGATTTATATTTTCTCAAGTATTAATGCTCATCATGTTCACAAAGGAATATGATCTATTATCTGACTACTAATATTCCCTGTATTTGCCTTACTTTTGGAAGAGCATGGACATATTTCTCCACTTAGCCAAAGAAAAATAAATAAAATAAATAAATAAGAAGCCATTTGATTTGAACAAAGTTCAGGTGATTTTTGACCTATATAACTTAAGTAAGCCCTGAAAACACAGACTTTCACTTTTTTTCTAAGGCTTGTTCCATACAGCACTGAAGTAAATTTTTCTTTTGGGAGAAAAATAGAAAAATTCCAAGAGGTTTATGAATGTTTTGAATATTTGTTTCAAACGTTTTCTTCTTTTTAAAACAAGATGCATTCATGACAAGACAGGCATAGCAAATGTGTATTAAAGTTATGTCAGCAGACACCCCTCTTCCAATAGGTTATTTTTATTAGGTTTGTCTGTATTAAAAAGGTGTGGAATTAAGAATTTACTCTCTGTTCATAATTACTCTTTTATTGTGGTAAAATATATAAAATTCTTGATTTATCAACAGAATGCATTCTGAAATATAAGTAATATGTTAACTCACAGAAAAGTACAGCTACAGAACTACATTTTTTTTCTCCAAATAACAGCTGAACTAACTCCAATGAAGACAACTTCACTAAGTGTCAAGGCAAAACTCAATAATGTAAAATGTTGCAATTGTAGATGTTAAAGTGAAATTATTTACATGCTATAAATAGAGTAAAAATAAAATCACAAAGCAGATAGAAAAATGAGTGTTTAGTTTCATAAGTGTATTAAAGTACATGGAACTGAATTTTTGCCTATGCATCATATTATTGATAATACACTATTTGCAACACAGCAGAACCATATATCAGGATATTAATATAGTAGAAACATGGTTCCTCAATGAAATTAAGTGCAAAAGTATTCAAGTACTTGCTAAATTAGAATTAAGATGCATCAAGACAGATCATGTTAAATTACTCTGACTTCTGTTGGTCTGTAGTTTATTATTACAGAATAAAGCAGTTTGCTTTCTTTTTCACATTTTCAGTGCATCATGCACAATTTCCTGCAGCTGTTCTGTTACTGCATTATTTTGCCCATTATGATGGTGCAGGAGAAGGGAACTATGAATGACCCAAATCATAATGGATTTTAAGTTTAAAAATAGCAGATGAGGAATCAGGTACATTTTGAGAGAAAAAGTAATGTATTCTATCAAATTTTTCATGTGAAATTGAAGTGTTTTGTAAGACTACAGGTTGTGACTTTTTCTTTTGACCATCTAAAATAAAAAGGGTGAAGAATGAAGCAAAATGAAGTGAAATTCTCTAGAAAATTAGAGAAAAGGGATTTCTTGTATCACTGAAGCATACAAAACAAAATTAATTAACTATGTGGAAAATAAAAAAATGATAGCTTGCCAAAATAGAAACTGGAAAGAATGTTCAAAGATAATCCTTTTCAAATGGAAGATTTCAGTTTTTTTTTTTTTGGTCAAAACAAGTAAGAATCCTCTATGGAAATACTTTTTTTTTTCTTGAAGGCAGATGAATTTATTAGATTGCACTCATAATTAGTGAGGAATAACTGAGTCAGAAAAAAAAAATCTATGAAACATAACAATGTGTTTGAACAAAATAGTTTACTTTTCTGTCAGTTTTAAAGTCAGTTAATGAGTCCAGAGACAATGAAAACCACTTATTTTCAGAAGGGAACAAATAAAACAGTTGAGATGTTATTTCATTTTTTCCCCTGTGACTACTTATACTTTGGATAAAACAAAGAAGATTGCAAATGTGAGCCAGTGGACTCCAAATAGGTTCCAGGTAGAGAATCCAAGTATCAGATGGCTTCTGGTAATGCTGGGAATGGGACTGGAGAGCAGGAATTCTCTGGGGGCTGGATAGATTTCAGCCCCAGGTTATGTGCACCTTCTATAATTTTTGTTATAATTCAGTGTTTTTGTGAGATTATTTGGGCTTTTTTTTTTTTTAAGGAATGTTAGTATGTTGGGTGGGGAGGTCGAGTGCTTGGTTATAAACAAAACATTCAGTTTTCTATTAATACTGTTTTTAAACAGGCCAATGGATGCAATTTAATCTGAAAAAAAAAATCTTGCCCACAAAACACTGGGAGCTCTGATTACAAAACAAACAAGTGATGGTACCCCTGGAATGCTGGAAGACCTTCCCCGGGGCTGGCAGCAACATGCCAGCAGAGCTGACTCAGCCCTTTCCCCTCCTGGTCATGTTTTTGATGTTTTGCACTGTGAGGAAGAGCATGGCCACCACAGCAGCTCTGGGGGCTGTGGCAGGGCACGGAGGGAGCCTTGCAAATGAAGATCTGGGCACACCAAAGAGGCACCTCTGCTCCCAACAGGGACTGCCCTGCAGCCTGAAAACGTGCTTTGATTGATGGCTTGGGCTTAAGCTGGCATGCAGTAAGGAACAGAAAGAGTATTTCTAGCACTAAGACTATTTCACTGAATATCTCAAAGTATTTCCTCTGTGTACCCTTCATACTGCAGCAACGATGTAAAAATATGCAGTATGAATTATAAAGTAACTGTATGAATTGATATGGTCAGCCACTCTGGCTGACT